ATGTTTGACGGTCTCAAATGTAAATATAAGTAATAAACAACAGTGTTAAAAAGTTCTCTGGAAAATGAACTTAGTTGGTAGGCCTACGTGTTCAAATCTACTGAGCAACCCTTCCGGCTTCACAGGATTTGATCACCACAGCCGATCACGTGACCGTCTAAGTTTATTTCCCAGAAAACTTTTTAACATTGTTGTTTACTTCTTAAGTATATTCAGTGATATAAACGTATTTTCAACCATATATTTTACTTCTTTTTAAGTTTATGCTGATGAAACAAGTTGTGCTGGACTTAAAATGCCCCCATATGCCGTTTGTGGATGAAAATTTAGTCTAATGCTCAGTATGGGCGCTCAAGGAGCAGTTATATTTCTCAAATTAAAACCACGTTAAGTTTATATGTGGTATTTTTCTCTCGCAAAACAAAATCGAACCTAAAAAGTTAGTATGTGAGTTTTGATTCTTGATAAAGAAAATAAGAAAACCAAAGACGATATTTTAATAAATATATCTATTTACCCCAGTGTGGGCAAAAGTCACCTAGAGCAAAGCATGTAAATTCTTGAATGACAAAAGTTCAAATCGATTAGAAAATTGCACTTCTTTGTGAGGATGGAATTCCGGTGCATTCACACGGAAGTTCGCAATTTGAAATAATTCAGATACATTATGAAAGAAAGCTGTCATTTGATTCTATCATAATAATAAAAAAAACAAATATCTAAAGTACATTGGTAAAATGAATCGTAATGATTATGGTATGTATTTGTTGTAATATTAATGCAAGATAAACACTTTATTCCTTAGATATTTGTTCATATACTCACCGTCAATAGAAACGCAACGCTCTAATTTTACCTAGGTGAAAAGTATATACGGGATATGACTATGTACATGTAGCAAAAAAGTAAGGTCATCTTTTACTTTGCCAAATTAGTTATTTAACGGTTAAATGATTTTCATTCCATTACCGGAAGTTGATTTTTAGCCCTCTTTGTTAACAGATAACTTTTAAAACATCCCCCCTTCCGACTATTTAATTAAAACGTGCCAGTCTGCGATGTACACCATACACAGTCAGATTTCTACCACGCACTAGGTTTATTTATGTCTTTATCTGAGTTAAATAAATGTTTTTTGCATTTTTAAATATCTGTTTTCAGATACTGAGGTCGAATTTTCTCTAACTTGGCGTACATGTGTAGTGTATAGTAACCGTTAGACTTTTAGTCAAAGAAGTGCCATTCATGCTTTTGAAACACATGACCCCGAAAAGTCGTTATGTAGTGTATATTTGCATCTGTAGCTCTCCTTTTTCTTTATTTTGAGAATTTCCAGCATTAGCAATCGAAATGCGTGCTTTCCGTCATTTTGAGGAAATACAGGCATCACATCCAGATAAGAAAAAAGGATATTTTTCCGGGATTTTAGTACAATACTTTTGATTAACAGATACAAAACCTTAAAAACCAAAAAATTATCAATAATTTTATTTAAAAATGCTAATTTTTGATTTCTGTTAAGAGGGCTAAAAATCAACTTCCGGTTATGGTATGAAAATCATTCAACCGTTAAATAACTGATTTGGCAAAGTTGAAGATGTCCTAACTTTTTTATGACATAGTTATATCCCGTATATAATTTTAACTCTAAAATTAGAGTGTTGCGTTTCTATTGAGGGTGAGTATATATAATGTCTAAACTTAATACCTTTCGCTTCAGGTAAGTAAACATTAGAACATGTTCGATCTTATTTAAAAAAGTGCACATAAAGGTGCAAAATGTACGAAATACATGCACATGTACGTACTTGCGCATTCTAATATATACATAATATTAATACAAGTATTGAGAAAATGTAAAATAGAAATCTATTATCTCCTGTACATATCTTAAAATTCGTGAAAGGCGGATTATCGTATTTCGTAGACAATGTACTGTATGTGTAGCGGGCTTCATATTTTAGCGGCTTTTGCACAGACAACAATGCTCGAATTCATGAATACCGCTAAGATATCATTTACATATATATATATATATATATATATATATATATATATATATATATATATATATATATATATATATATATATATATATATATATATATATAATATACCTGAATGGACATGACATTGTATTCATGCAGAGCTAATTTAAGATTACGCCAACAACTTCATACCCAGTGATTACGCTACATTTTGAATACGCCAAATTATGTACACGTATCCTTTCATTCTCTTTTCCACAAGGTGCAATGGAAAAATCGACAATATTTTGTATTTAAAAATGCATTCATAATCGGGATGGCGATTATTTTTAGCACATTAATTATATCGGATAAGTGTTATTATGGTTAATAACTACTTATTGAGGACCATTGGATTTTGTATTTAGACTTGTCACGTGATGCGGCAGTCACGTGATTTTAGCACATTTACTTGCAGGGTTGAGGTTACCTATAAATGTCACCAGTGCAAGGGCATAACCAAGTTAAAATTCCAAGTTTAGTTTATAAATATTATCAACACGCATTGTAGTTTCTGAAAAGTGCTGAAATCCTATCTAAATTCTGCAATTTTATTGTTAAAATTGTAATTTCAATATTTGAATGACAGAATGCTATATTTTTTGCTGGTCAAAGGCTTGAAATATTGTTATAATTAAATTATGTTCAAGATTTCATCAGGATTGCAGCACTTTTGAGATACCTTAATACCTCTAGAGTTGAATTGTAAAAGCTTACGATGGTTTATTAAGTGTATGTCCTTGCCTTACATCGATTTATTAAGACCCCTGCATTACCGTCCGATGCACTTGCATACTGTAAATATACGGCAGTATCAATTAAATACGTAATATATAGAAAATATATTAATAAAATCGTGAAGAAGACATTGAATCCAAGTAAATGGGTTATAGAATATCAGTAAATAATATTTTTATTTAATGATAGAATACATTTTTCGTTGAGAAAATATTACTTGATCTACCTCTTACTGCATACAAACTATATCACGTTTTGCGAAATGATAACTTGTTATGTGGGATATAACTAAAGACAAAACGGCATATTAAGTAAATTTTTATGTAGTTTGATAGAACTTTTCCTACAGGTTAATTTTGTGGTATTTTTTTGAATTGTTGTATGACGTATATTTTGTATGATGTCATATTATGTTTTCCCATACAAATTAGGCTCCGCCCCCTTTTTGTAACCTTAACTGTGCTGCGGAGGGAACTTTTTTGTGCCAGCACCCACTGAAAAACGGGACCTCGGTTTATACGGTTTTATCCCCCCCCCCCAAAAAAAAAGAAAAAGAAACAGTAGAAAAATTGAACGATTGATAAATTTTTTACTTCTTATCCAAAAGCCAAAAAATAGAATGTTAAGTTTGAGTCAAACTTGATAAAATATGTCGTTACGTCGAAAGTAGGTCGAATTTAGATTGACGCTTTACAAAATAATCTTTTGGCTATTATGTTCATGCTGAATTGTGTTGAGATTTTCAATATTCCATTTATGAAAAAATTGAGATAACGAACAGTTAGTACCGGTCTATCTCATGAAAACCACAAACAAACCATTTCTTTGAACAAAGCATAAACAAGGACCCCCGGAAAATTCAGAGTGAGGATCAGGTGCCTAGAAGGAGTTAGCATCCCATGCAACTGAATAGTCACTAAAATCTCTGGAACGGTGTCAGAATGACAGAGCTTTACTATTCAGTGTCCATTTAGCAATCTTCAGACACCTTCCTTTTAAATGAAAGATTTTAATCTTAAAAGATGAAAAACTTGAAGTTATCGACATGTAGTTTGTCATGCCATTTATTTTAAGTTGATTTTCGTCGAAAAAATCTAAATATGAAACAGACGTACCACACTATGCGTAATAAGAACAAAAAGTACATTTGAATCTTAATCTAATATACTGTATTTAGTCTCACCTACAAGTTTTTCATATTTTGAGAGAGGAAAATGTGCATATATTTTAAACTGATTAAGTATAGTTGCCAAAAATCTCATCTTTAAATAGTTGACTAATTTTGGTTAGATACAATTGACTAAAACAGTTGGCAACGGAGGCATGCTACATGCATTAGTATTTTAGTATTTTAAACCAACTTATATCCGTGGATATTGCGACTTAATTAATAATGATGTTTATCAGATTTTCATTTGTATATGGAAAATGGACAAGCTCGAAGAAAAATGGTCACAAAAGTGATCTCAAACACATCTAATTCCTTCATGGGCAACATTACTTGTAATCTATGTGAAGAATAAACTTGGAAAAGATAAAAAAGGAGAGTGCTATATAAGTATGATTTATGTTGAATACAGATCTATATGAAAATATTAGACGTTTGGCCCTTAGACGGACTCTTAGATAGATTAGATATATATGTTTGTCTTTTATGAATTTTGCACACATGTACATCCAATACATATCAAAGAATCCTTTCCATATCAACTGCGCTAAATTTAGAGCAACTGCCCTTCCTCATGATCAATTTTAATGTGGCCCTTTAATCTCTTTAGATAAATAAGAGATGAACATTGGTCTTTCAGTCAGTCTAACATGGTAACATTTAAATTACTAAAATGAATGAGCATCCCATGGAGTAAGATCATAGAAAATTGATAAGGTTTCATTCAACAATACCTTTTATAAAACGTCATAACAAATATTTTATATCCATGTTTCACGATAAATCAAGATATCTTATTCAATTCAAAAGCGATAAATGTTATGATGCTTCTATTTATATCTTAACGTAAATTAAAATGAGGCAACTTTAAATATAAAATGAAAAGCAAACCAGCCTCTGCGTTAAAACATATTCTTTGGTGCTGGTTCTCTATTGATCCGGGAAAGTACAAGACTTCACTTTTTTTTTTTAGATCTTTAGCATGGCTTAACGTAAACGGTGGGGAATTCAAAACACTGTGCAAAGCTCATCGTGAGCATATACCGGGTTTCTTTTATGAGATATTTCAAATGTAGAATCTTATTTACGATGAACGTGAGGAACAATGAAGCTCTTAAAACAACGACTTAAGCATGAATTAAAAGACAAGGGATGCCGTGCATGTAAGTCTCTCTTTAATGGAAATCGAGGCCTATCCTTACAAAACTCCAAATCTTCTTTAGATTCTGTAGTTCTACTAAGATGGATTTACTGTCGGTTTCTTTAAAGCATGTTGATTACATACGGTTCACATTCATAAAGATGGATATTAAAGTGACATCAAACCTATAACTTGGCGTATGGATATAAACCTCTTCATCGTATTTTGGAGTTGCAAGTTCAAGGAATTCTTATATCTAGAGTTTCCCAGCAAAGAAGAGTTTACGTATGATTCTTTTTTGCAAAATGTAACATTGGAAATAGAGTAAATGAAATTAAACGAGACACCACAACAGTATTTTTGCATCTTTGCATTATATAAAGTAATAATTCAATATCTTATAATGAATAAAGATGTCTTTTTCCCTGCAATAATTTTGTTTCGGAATGGTGACTTACAGTAATGGAAAGGGACAACACTACTTTAATACACATTATATTTCCTTGGGATATCATTGAAAACTATACTAATATTACTGACATTGCCAAACGTAACAGTGACAGTCATATATGGAGAGACATACCTTTGGGTCTAGTATTAACTTTTCTGTCACTTCTAACGTTCATTGGGAATGCTATGGTACTTCATGCAGTCAGAACTGAAAGACGGTTACAAACGGTAAGTTGATATTTCATAGGTAAATGGTTGTTTTCGTAAAATAAAAATTAAATGAAAAAAATTTAAGATTTTTTTCCGAACATTTTTGTGTTTTTCTTAATTTTTTATTACCTATAGTGAAAAAAGTTATAGATAAGTTTAAGTTGAGGTTTAAACATTAAACGTAAAATGTAATAAAATATGTAATAAAAATTGGGTATGAAAGTTGTGAGATCAGACATGCAATCCATGCAAAATGTCATAACCATAAGATTAAGGTATATGTAGGTAAAAGCACAAGTTTAAGTAGAATTAAAACTATATTGCAGATATGCTGTAGAAACAAAAATCAGATTTCAATGCTCAAAAAGGTAATGTTTAATTCTATCTCCTCATAACCTTTGAATATGCTTTGTCATACTGAATATCAATTAAAAGGATTAATAATATCGAGGTTTTATCATGGTAAAAAGATTTTAAATTTACGTGTACTGACACTAACGTATAAATGTTCCTAACTACCGGTATAGGCTTTTATAAATTAGATAAAAAATTCCCTTTGAAGTTCTAGTGATATTTTGAATTTAACATCCAAGAAAAGAAATCACTTATTCGAGGTAACTTATCAAGAGTGAGTGTGACAGATATTCATTAACGTTTATTAAAACTTGAACTGAATTTTCATTACCATAAGTTTAAGAAAACAGTTTAAGTAAAAACAAAACATTTGAACTTTGCCAGGTTTTGGCAACTACCGTCAAAGTGTTTAAAATAAGTTTACTTTTACTTTAATTATCATATACGGGTAAATAAAACTTGTTTGTAATGTTTCAAAGAAAAATTATCGAATGAAGTAAAAATTATAGAATCACATATTTATTTCTTTATATATGAATATGACTATTGATCAACGTATTTGGTATGGAGAGAATCCAGTCTTCTTGTACTCATTAGATTAGTAAAGGAAACGAGAGAAATTGCTTTGCTTCGAAAAGGTTCTGTTCGATTAATATATTCTTTCGAAGGGCTTAGCGACAATAACACTTTTCACATGTTAATTATTTAAGTTCCATTAATTCTCCCCATAATCACCATTTCCAGACTTTCTCAAGTGTGAACCCTAGTCGTCTTTTATGTCAGTTTTCTTCTGCCTAAATTCGTGCAGGGCTTCAGAAGACAGATATTAGGAGGGGTTTTATTGGCATTTCGAAGAACATCTTTTGCCAAAGAGAGGGAGACCAAAAACGGTAGATTTGGTTTGAAATGAAGAAGTTGCAATTATAGGAATTCTTTTGCTCTTGTAATTAACAAATATACGGGCTGAACGGTACCAATCAGTGCATTCTATCTTGTACTGTCGTCTGTTTCTGTTATTTCATTTCTTGGCCGGCATTCTAATCAATTAAGAGTTTTTTCTTTAGATGATGCAACTGCATCGTTATATACATTTTATTCTTGACAAATTTTATTCAAGAGTAATTTCTAAATTGAAGTTTGAAAAAAAAGTTTCATAAATTGGCTTCATAAAGGAAAAACAAGTTCTGAAAAGAACACGAGGGTAATAGAGAAACTTTATTCGGCCCTTCTTACAATTAAACATGCAATCATCTAATCATATATGTGTAAACCCGTATACCAAGGAAGAACAGGACTTGAAAACAATCGAATTCAGCAGCTAATTGGGCACAAAATGAAACCTATAATGAGAAGATTTTTTTTATTAATGTGGGTTTTAATTAACTACAAACAGAAATACCTCAAGTCGATGTTACATTATAACTTATTTACCAATTGTACTCATTCCTGTCTGAATCAGGAAGAAAATTTGATACTTTTAGCTTTTAGTAACATAGAAATTAAAGGTAACAATTTTAGTAAAGGCATCCCATGAACAAGTTGTATTTCTGTAACTTTTGTAAAGAATAGCTTTAATGACTTTTTCGTCCTTTTCAAAAACATTTTATCGTCGAATATAAATTTTATTTCAAAAATCATTAAAACTTTAGCCTTCTAGGAAATTCTAAGATATTAAAAAGCAGCCCAGTGAAGATCCATGATAATTTCTTTTTCAAATTCCTAAAAAAACACACCTGTTATAAACATATTTAATAATATGAAATATATCATTTAAGTTAATGCTAATGTTTAATTTTGAGGCACAATATTATTTTGATGAGATAAATGAGTTATATGTTAAATGTTTCATACTGATACACTAAAACACCCTGATATCCAAACGCAATTCTTGATAAACAATAACATTCATTTTCATTCCTGATATGGTAAAAACTGCCTTCGGATATTACTCGTCTTGCATTTGTGATCGCAGTACAAGGGGAAATGTAAATAAGTATATTATTCCCTTATACTCCAATGCTTACAAATCTTTATTATATGAATATAAACGGTAAAACATAACTTACAAAGAAGAGTCATTTACAGGGCTTTAGTGAACGTCAATTAGGAAGAGGAAATTGGTATTTATCCCCGAGGCTTCATGTCCAAACTAGAACATTGAATGTGATATTGACCATTCAAAACCAAAAATTATCCCTCAGTTTCTTTGCGTGTTTACGGCATAAAATACGCCTTCTTTTCTTTTACTTTGTATAACTGAAATAGCATTCTGCTCCGGTAAAATCACAAAATGGAGACCCCGGGCGCTAGTTACTTGATAGGAAAAATAGATAGGAAATCCCATGTAATCACGATGTTTGTTATATCCGAAAATTCTATCATAGTCATTCCGATGATACAAGCCCTTTAATTGATTTTCCTCTGATACTGTCTTGGATATCGAAAATGTTACGTCCGTGGACATACGTATTGGAATTGTGTTAATAATATTTTTCAGTATGAAATAAAATATTTTTTGCTGAACAATGAGTCTTTTAATCCTAATTAGGAAACTTCAGGATTCATTGTATTGGGTCTCAGATGTTCCTGTTGTAATCATCCTGGGACTAAAATGCTAGTCATACGGAAGACTATAATTAACGTTACGTGTTTAATTCAAAGCAGCTTACTAAATTAATTCCTGGGTCGTAGAAAGGAGTCAATGGTACTCTTTCATTTTCCAAAATAAAAAATCTCACTTTTAAGTTTTTCAATAAAATTTTCTAACCAAAATAAAAAATAAATAAAGAAGAAAATTAAAGCTTATGAAAAGGGTACTATTTTTACCCACAACCGTAACTGCCAATTAATGACGAAAAGAGGCTAGGTGTTTAAAGCTGAGATGTTGAGATCATATGCTGGTTCGTCCTCTATCCTCTCCATAACAGTAGACAAAACACTCCGTTGCCTATGTTTACAAAATAAGACTTACACTCAAAGGTAAGTCATTATATATGGATGTAAAGAATGCGACGGACCATATCTGAAGCCTCAAACTAATCTTTCTTAATACCATAAGTGATGCAGCATGACTCATTTCAATATTATTTAAAACGCAGCGTAACACTCTATTTTAAAATTTTATTGTTTATCTGAGGATACATTATTCATCGCATTGTTTACTTTTTGAATGACATTATATCCGACAGGGGATGCTCTCTCCTCCATGGCACCTGATCCTAACTCTGATGGTTTGGATGCCCGTGTTTGCTCTCTCCTATTTTGTAATGTTTAATTGACTTTTGAGTACGAACACTGTTCGTTATCTCCACATACATGTATTTCATCATGACTTAAATGTAAAAACACGTCAAAATGTTTTAAGTTACTCATAAATTCAAATATAAATGGATTAATCACTTTTTAAAATAGGGTTATTGTACTTTTATTTTCATGAACGCTTATTTTGGAAATTTTTTCATATAATTTTTTTTACAATAACCACTGATTGTCAACAGTTCTTTTTGGAAGAGAGATTGGTTCGCCCTCAATTAGATGACACATTTACGAGATAAATAAAAAAGCGATGATAAACATTCTATGGTCTAATATAAAAATTATTGAATTTTCAAATTACCTGATTATCGGCGCCTTGGTTCGGATGATGATATTTAAGTTTTATCAAGATTAATAGAAAATACAGACATAATTTGAGGATGCTGTTAAAGTGAAGTGATATTTGCCCTTTTTGAAAGCATTCAATTGAGAAAACGTAATCATGCGGAAAACACAACCCAGTAATTTTGCACAGCATAGAGAGCACCCATAGTTCATCTCAGGTAATTGCATTAATCAAATCCTGTTATCTGACGCTAAAAAAGCAAAATTTGAATAAATTTTCAGAAATGAAATAGATTTATGCTTTGAAATTCAAGAAAACAACATATCACAAGGTTTCTGTATTTGCATTTGTAAAAGAAAAAACCGATATCTTAGGATTTTTATCGGTAGTCTTCGTTCAATTCATACCAACAAATCATGTAGAATAGATTGATTGGATTAAAAATTTGTGACAAGTATTTTTATTATTTGAAAATTCCAAGATTATCAATTAATTCGTAGTTTTCTTGATTAAATATCGATTACCAATCCATATAAATTCTAAAAAAAATTGAGTGGTATTCTTTGTGATCTAATGTACTTGAATATACCAGGTATACTTATAGTTCATACTATTCCGCGTTTAACATAGTACATGTAGATGTACTTCAAAAGTTATGGTTTATAGAAGTTGTAAAACTTTTTTTTTAATTACTATATTCAATAGCTACAATGGTAACCGTTGCTCCAGAAAAAAAGCTTTCATTTCAAATATTTTCTTTTTTATATTTTACAGCTGCAAATTAGCATGCACCACAATCAACATTTGTCAGAGAAAATCTAAAATAAAATTCAAAAATTTAAATTTATCCTTTCTAGTATTTGTAAATAATACTTTTTCTCTCTCGTAAACAAATCATTCAAAACAGCTGTCGTCATAACACCAATGACGCCAAACCGTTGCTCGTGACAGTTGTGAATTTGTTCAGGAAATTCCTTCGAAGTCTATTTGAAAAGACATTTGTTTTTCTCAAAGTTACCTTGTAATCCATTTCACCTATACAGCAAAGAAAGTTTTTAAAGTT